CCCCAAAACCCCAAAACCCCAAAACCCCAAAACCCCAAAACCCCGCTTTTAAGCAGAAGTATTGAAAATTATTCATTAGTTTGATGTTGTCTCATTCCAACTCTTCTAGAAGTGAACCCATTGTTAAATAGCCAGGTGCAGAGGTTTCTTATGAGGTCTATAGAATCATCAAGAGAGATCTCTAGTAACTTTTCATTTCCATAAATGAACTCAGTGACCAACAAATTAGCAACTTCAGGGAGATATTCAGCATTATTACAGATAGAGAAAGGTGTCATTTCTATCTGTCTTCTTGACTTGGTAATAGTTTCATGTTCTGCTTTCTTGGGCCATCCAAACCTATTGATTCATTCTCTGTAGAGAATGACAATGGTCATGACTTTCCTGTAGCATCTTGTGTTAGTTATCCTACTAACTTCTCTTAGATAAAGAGCAAGGACCTCATCACAACACATTTTGCTCTTCTTTTCTTCTGGAGAGAGATCATCATAATCCCTTTTAGGGATTAGTGTTTCTGGGTCTTCAACAGCAAAACCATCAAGAATGGAAAAAACTTTAAGGAAAGGGTACATTCTGGACCTCTTTGGATCTAATTTTAGTTTCTCCCAAGTGATCTCGTAGAAGTAAGAAAGTGGATCAATAGGTCCTCCCGCCTTATCTGGAGTACAAAAGTACTCCAAGGAGGTAGGGTTCTTTTCAGAGTCATAAGGCTCTGTCCTTTTGACGACCTTCCTTTGTATAGTCTCGCTTACTTTTACATCAGGGTGTTTCAATTTCTTATGAGTATAAAGTGCTGGATATGAGAGGTAGGTTTTTTCACAATGTTGGCATCTAAAATTTCTCCCTTCTTGGTCCTTTTTGGACCTCCTTTTATTTTTCTTCCTGCCACCTTTACTCCCAGCATTGGACATTTCAGATTGATAAGTCATGGCTTCCCTGTGATAAGACTTATTGAGTTCACTTGGGTAGCCCATGTCGTCTTTGCCTTCTTCTTTGAGGATAATATTTGGTCTGGAATCTTCGCTGTAGGTATTCTTTGACATTTACCTTGAAAATTTATTATAAAAACAAACTTTGCTACTGAAGATGGGGTTTTGGGGTTTTGGGGTTTTGGGGTTTTGGGGTTTTGGGG